TTATTTTTTAGTGCTGAGTAATATTCCATTGTGTATAAATGCCACATTTTTTAATCCATTCATTTGTTAAAGGGCATCTAGGTTGGTTCCACAGTCTAGCTATTGTGAATTGTGCTGCTATGAACATTGATGTAGCTGTGTCCCTGTAGTATGCATTTTTAGGTCTTTTGGGTATAGTCCGAGAATGGGAATAACTGGGTCAAGCTTTCCCAGGAATCTCCATACTGCCCTCCAAATTAGTTGCACTAGTTTGAAGTCCCACTAGCAATGTACAAGTGTACCCTTTTCCCCACATCCTCGCCAGCACTTGTTGTTGTTTGACTTCATAATGGCTGCCCCTCTTACTGGAGTGAGATGGTTTCTCTTGAGTGGTTTTAATTTGCATTTCTCTGATAGCTAGAGATGGCGAGCACTTTTTGTGTACTTATTAATTGATTGTCTATCCTCCTCTGTGAAGTGTCTGTTTAGATTTAGTTCCCAATGCCGACTGGACCTAGGGTACTCCCTGCACATGGTCAGCAGCCCTCCTGATCTCAGGTGTCCTAGGAATGACTTTTGTGCTTCACTTTTAAATGTCCTGGTAATAACCACCATTTAGGTGAAATGTTAAAAGTTGGGTCTGGGTCAATCCCATTAATGATGAGAAAGCCCCATTTTCTATAGGCTTGGTTAATTTTTATTTAAAAAGTATAATGGACCAATCAGTGAAGAAGTTGATTCACCCAATTCATCACCCAGAAATATCATCAGTAATTTTGAAATCTCACCTATTTGCAATGCATATAAAGTCTTGGGAATCACATGAAAATAATGTGCCAAGGAATTTTCCAAGTCTATGTTAACCCTGATACCAAATGACAACTGCTTGTTCTGTAGAAGCCCTAAAAGCAAAGCAGCCAGTACTTGCATTAATTAGCACAAATAGAAAGAGTCACAAAGTATATCCATGCAGTGTCCTCTGGGTGTCCATGAAGCCTTTTGTCCAATCAAGATGTCCATAAGGCCTTTTTCCTTCCTTGGAGAGGCATGGACCAGAGTCACTTAGGTCCTGACTTAAAAATAGTCTTTTTGTAATTTTCTTAGCAAATATCTGCAGGTGATGTTTGTACTCACTGCCCAGGAAGTGACCCAGGCCCACCTCCCTGTCTTCCCAGTCTTGTCTCCTACTCTTTACTTCTTACTTACTAACATGTCTGTCAGGAAATTATCTGGGGATCAATTTTCTTGGCAATTTGGCCACTACTTAATGACTATGGAAGATTTTAAGTGGAATATGGCATTCTGGGGAGCCTTCCACATCCTCAGAAGCCCACGTCCCACACACAGCAAGGTCTCTTCCTTGTAGGCACCATAATATTTTATTTTTATATTTTTTTTCTGTTTATATTTTATTTTTTGTTAAAAAATTAAGGCAAGTTCTATTCCTTTTGAATGTTGTGGATGTGAGCATCCTGGGAGGCTGGTTTTCTTCTAGAATTTTTGCATGGAAGAGGCCTCATAGGAAGGGTGGGCAGTAGAAGAACGTTTAACAGAGAAACTGAAGAACTGGGATGCAGATGGCATCTGGATGTTGAGTTTGCCCAGCACCATGTCGGGCATGGACAGATTTCAGGTTGTGCAGGAGTTGAATGTTGATCATGTCCTCCAAGAATCCCTTCACGTGGCCAACACCATGAATATCTTGAAACACACAGCACAGAGTCTTTGTCCTGTCCTAATGGCTAATAAATGGCGGTTCAGATTTTCCATGGGGAAGGAGGCTGTAGCTCTGGTGATGTTTCTAATTAGTCTGGAATGATAATTATTGAAAAATGCATTAGATTATGGAAAATAACTAAAGTTCCATTTAAAAAGGGAAAGAAAAGATTTGTTAGATAAAGAGATTGTAGCTGCTCATGTACAAACAAGAATGTGAGATGATGGGTAGTTAATTTTCTTTATTATTGTAACTATTTTATTTTCTGTATATTCATGTGGCACACCCCAAAAATACACAATGAGTTTGTAAATTATAGCTGTTAAGCCATTGTGCCTGGGGGATGACCACTGGAGGGTCTTAGCCACCATCCTGCTCCCTAATTTTTAAAATTTTCAACTGACAAATAATAATCATCTACCTTTATGGGGTATGATGTCGAATGTGCACACACACACACACACACACACACACACACACACACACACTTCAATCATAATATTTTCTTGCCCAATGGATTTATCAGGGCATGATCAAGAGGTCACATGAGATTTAATTTTGCTGATTTTGGAATTTCTCAGAAGTGAGGCTGATTCACTGGAGCCTTATGAATGCTGTGATCCAGAAAATTATTCAGAACTGGTTACAAGACAGAATGTTTTGTTTTTATGAAATGAGCCAAGGGAGGGATTCCAAAATGAGAGGAAGAGAGTCCATCAACTGACATCCTGGGGAGGCCCAGTTTAAGGAGACACTGGAAGATAACATGACATCAGGCCACCAACAGAGTGGTCCTTCATGGTCCAGAGCCCAAGATGGTAGAAACACCTGATCACATCATCTGAAATCAGAAGCCTTTGTTTCCTATCTGATGCCTTCCTATTTTCTAGATAAAAAGTTGACGTTTCCTTTCCTCAATGTGTGTATCATTCCTAGGGCTGTGGTGGAGGGAGGTGGGGGTGAATCTATTCAATTATCTACAACTAGAGGCAGGATTTTGACAGCTCCATGAGAGAGAAAGCCAACCTATGTAATTGGTGTGATAGACAAAACAATGACCCCACAGACGTCCACACCCTAATCCCACAGCCTGTGAGTGTCACCGTGCCTGGAAAAGGAACTTGTCAACAAGGAGTATGTTAAAGATTAAAAAATCTAATTTTACATTAAATCTATTTATTTGGCACATATTAAGGGTATAATGTGATGTTTCCCTGCCTGTCTACAGTGTGAGTGTTTACATCAGGTGAAACATAACTATCTCCTCCAACATGCATTTGTTATTTGTGGTAAAAACTCTCAAGAATCCTTTGTCTTTTAAAGAGATTGGTCCTGGGATGGAGCCTGGGGTCTTGCACATGCCAGGCAAGGGCCTCCCACTGAGTGGCCCCCAGCCCCTCAGAGCTGTGGGAAAGACACAGCACACTTTGTGGTCTAGTGGCCCTACTGTGCGCCACACCACAGAGCTTCTTTCTCCTGACTGTAACTTAGTACCCACTGATCAAGCTTTTCCCACCCCCTCCTCCCAGCCTCTGGGAACCACTGTTCTACTCTTTGTTTCTATGAGATCAATGTTGCATTTCACATATGAGTGGGATCATGCATGTTAAGCATCTTGAGATGAGAAAATCGTCCTGGATTGTCCAGGTGAGCCTAAGATCATCACCAGGGTCTTTAGGAGACTCAGATAAGGGTGGGGACACAATGATAATAAGCAGGAACTAGGTGGGTGGGAGGGAGGGAGAGAGAATCATGTAAGGTCAGCGCACAGGCAGGCATGATGGTGGAGTCCATGAGGCAGGGGAAGCATGGTCTGTGGACAGGAGGAGAGAAATCCTGCCAATACCAGGGAACATGAGCTCTGGGAGCAGGGAGTGACCCTACCGTGCTGGGTCTGGAGGTGTTGGACACAGCCTTGCTAGACAGAGTGTAGGCCTCGGGTTCAGCTGTCCATTTCCTGATCCTCTTGAGCCATGTCCTGTACTGCTCCTGGACCTGCAGAGGCAACCCACGCTCTGGGTCAGCTCACAGAGAGGGGTGTGGGTGGGGAGGCATGGGTGGGAGCTGGGCAGGGGTACCTGTTGGCTGAGGAGGCAGTACACGAGGAAGATGAAGACGCCCTGCAGGCTGTTGACGATGGTGAAGAGGTAGGCCATGACGGGGGCCAGGGAGCCCACCTGCAGGACACCCAGACACCAGGTGCAGCCCAAGATGAAGAGATGAGCCATTGCTTTAAATGTCAGCACCCTAGGTTGGGGGAGAATGGAGGCTTATAATGCACCCACAGTAAAATCAGGGTGTTCACCTCTCCATCCTTGGATGCACCTACTCTCCCCTGTAAGCGATTTCTTGGACTGAGCTCTGATCTTTACTCTCAATGATACCTCACAATAGAAATGCCTTTTTGTTTCCAGGACAGTGATACTGCATAAGGTTAGTTCCAAAAACTCATTTTCCATGAAGATCCCTAATTTCATTAACCAGTGTAACTGAGGATGCCCTGTGCTAGGGCTTGGACATGAGTCACAAAGAGAAGCTGGGGGCAGGGGTGCACACCTGTAGCCCCAGCTCCTCAGGAGGCTGAGGCAAGAGGATCACACAGCCTCGGGAACACAGTGAGGCCCTATCTTAGAAAACAAACACAGGACAAATTTCTGTTTTCATTAATCGTATGCTCTGTTCAAGTTTCTAATACAATTAAATGATGATATGCAAAAATTTGAAAGGTTAATCAGAGGAACCCAGAAGAAAGAGCATGAATTTTCCACAAGATGCTGAGTGAAGGATCAACTCTGCCCCGTGGAGGATTAACTGGAGTAAGCAGCAGAGCCCTGAGTCTGAGATGGCAGCCATAGAAGCGCAGCTGCATTTGTTAATTGTGGGTCACTCAGAAGCCCCAGAGGAGGGACATGAGGGGCTGTTCAGGCACATGGCTCTGCTCTTGGGCATCGTCCACCTCTGTAGGGTTGTGTCCCCTGCTCCATCTCACCTCGTGTTCTGGAGGGTGGACACATCACTGTCGATGGAGGACAGCTTGCTCTTCACAATCCAGAGGGTCATCAGGAAGAAAACCAAATTGACCTTTAGAAACCACAGAGGAAGGACAGCAGCATGAACCTGACATAATTTTCCTGTGTACATATATGACCACATCACGGTGAATCTCACCATCATGTACATTCACGAGAATGGGCTCCTAACTAGATAAGGTATATTCCATGCTTGTGCAATTGTATCAGAATGGATTCTACCTTCTCGTCTAACTAAAAAGAACCCCCCCCAAAAGAAACCGCAGGAGGTTTATGAATATCTTCTTTACCCTTTTGCAGTTCTGTGAAGGGAACCCAGACCCTAGTGCATGCCAGGCAAGCTCTCTGCCCTTGAGCTACATCCAAATCCCCCACAGCAAAGTTTTATTGAATACAATTTTACATTTCTTATCTCTCCATTGTAGCCCATGTAGCTTTTGTATTTGACAATAGTGTTAGAATTTGTGATGCAGAAGTCTTGGAAAACCCAACCCAACCCGTAACAATCCAGGATAGTCCTGTTCTCATCACCATCCTTATAATCCTGCTCTTCTAGTGACCCTCATGTGGATAGCAAGGAACTCTGATGACATCACTCACACAAGAGATGGCACAGGCAGGTCCAAGGAAGCCCCACACAAACCCCTGTTCTGGGTTGAGCCAGCAGCTGAGCAAGAGAGAGAACAACATCACTTTGCTGTGTTCATGTAGGAGTCCATGACCAGTGTCACTCCACACATGCACAACCACAAGGACGGGAAGCCAGACCCCTGTATGTGTGATATGTCACAGTGCACTCTACTGCCATGTACATCTAAAAAGAACAAATGAGAAATTAAGAAAATGAGAGAATGAGTGCATTGATCCTTGAAGACACAGAGCAGTTATTTTGATCTCTTCCTCCCTTTCCTCAACAAACGTTGAGTGTCTGGGTGGTAGGCTTTCTGTCTGGCTCTGAAGATACCAAGAAAGTAAACAGGGTTGTATATCTCCCAAGTCTCACCTCCAGGAGGATACACACTGTAGACACATTGTAACAATGAAACAAAAATGGAAGGTTCTGAGGATGAATCACTGGAGGGCATATTAAGGTCTGTCTGTGGGATTAAGATGGTTAAGGAGAATTCCCCAAGGAAATCACATGTTAACAGAGACATGAAGATGGGAGGGTGTTACTGAGGTAGTGAGCTCTGGAGCAGGGCAGAGGACCGTGAACATGGTCACAGAGTTTGAGAGTCTTGTGAACCTGACATCGTTTTAAGGGCTCATCTTGCTCCATTCAATAGTGTTGCGTTTTTTTCTGCTGGTAAATTTACCCAATGACAAGAATTCTTTCATGGATTTATGGACATGGAGTTCATGTAGCATAAAATTCACTCATTGAAAGTGCACACTTCTGTTACATTGTCATGTGGTGTGCATGCACAAATATGTAGCAACACATCCCTTCATTATATACAACTATAAAGCACCAATAAAAATGCAGAAAAATGAACTGCACAGTTTTTGTTTGAGCAAAACAGTGCTGTGTAGCCATCACCACAACCTAACTGTGGAACATTCTCAGAGCTCCATAAAGAGCTCCATGTGCACATCAGCACCCGCTCCTCCCTCCTGCTCCCACCCTTTACCTTGCCCCCAGCCACAGGAATCTATTTTCTCTTATCAATTTGTTTCTTCTTGGCATTTCACATAATGGAATCATGAAATATGTGATCTTTAATGACTACATTCTTTCACTTAGCATGATGTTTTCAAGGTTCACTCATAATGCAGCATTTTAAAGATGAAATTCGCCCATGAACATATTAATTATCTGTATTAGAGGAGCCCAGCATGGTATTTCCACCCAGGACCATCGTGTGCAGTGATTCATCCCAACCTCACTTTTCTACTTTCCTTGACACTGCCCTGCACCCTTCCGGATCTCTTGAATTCACTCTGTTGTACTTTCAGGTGGATTTATTTTTTAACTTCCACAAATGTGAGACCACATGTGGTACTTGTGTTTCTGTGCCTGGCTCATTTAACTTAATATAATGTCCTCCAGTTTTATCCCTGTTGCTGCAAATGTTAAATATTATTCTTCTTTAAGGCTGAATAGTATTGCATTGTGTGTGTGTGTGTGTGTGTGTGTGTGTGTGTGTATCTCACCTCTTCTTTCTCCATTCATCTCTGAGGGGCACTCGGGCTGATCCCGCACCTCAGCTATTGTGGAGAGTGCTGCAATAAACTTGAGTTTGTGGATACCTGCTAGTTTTGCCACCTTTGGGCACTTAACTAAATGGTACTTCTGTTGCCTCATTGATAAAATCAGGCTAATGTGAACATCTACTTGTAAGTAGAGAAGTGATGATTATTTGAGTTAATACATATGAAAGTGGCTAGAGAAGCACCTGGCATAAAATAAGCACCCTGTAAATCTTAACTATGACACTATGTTTAATTTTTACGTTTGTAATTAAGTCCTTTTTATTCTGCATCATTAAAGTTTAAAACTGTTATAATGAAATCCCTAGGACTGACATGTGAGCTTAAGCAATAAGACCTTTCACGGGAGAAGATGAGGACTACTCTCCCTTTCTGATTGCATATCCTTCCTGTCACCATGGTAACCACAATCTCAAGTTTGGTGATTATCTTTGTCTATCAGTTTGATTATTTAAATCAATTCTACTTTTGCCACTGAGGAATTGGGATTTGGATAAAAGTAGGTTAAATGAAAACAAAAAAGTAAAACAAAAACAAAAAATAAAAACAAAAAAGCATTTCTTTTGCTTTTATATTTGCTATTTCTAGGAGAGAGATTTTGTTTATTAATTAATCCTTACTATAATTTTTCACAGGGAAGATGCTCTAAGGGTTACTAGTTAGTGTCGCTGTGCATCT